GGCAGAACAAACCCACCAGCTTTATGTGAAGGTGAAGAAACGTCCCAGTCAAAGTTCTGCTTCCCATCATGTCAGTTTCTAGTCCGGCTTGTTTTTCTCAACCTCATGTCCAAGTTCTGGTTCTGTTGATCCAGAAGGTTCTGAATGAGTCCAGAAACCAGAGCAACAAAAATAGAAAAATGTTGTGCAGGTTTTCAGTTTCCGGTAGAAAATCTGAATGAAAGAAAAGAATAAATATTTTCCACTTTTGACTTTCATCAAGTTGTTTCATTAAATGTTTTATTGAAGTTTAAACAGAATAAAAAGAGCAACAAAGAGATGAGATGAAGTTTAACTGCAGGAAGATTGAATAGAATCTGAAATGTTTCAAATGATCAGAAACAGAAAATAAACATTTCAATGAAACTTATTTTCCTCCAGCTGTCAGAGTGCTGAACGCTGATTGGTCAGCTGCTGACAAGCTCCCGGAAATGATTGGATGAGGTTTGCTCTACGTCAGCATGGGGGCGGAGCCGTGGTTTACTGGTTGCCACGCCAACGAATCTGCGCGTGACGCTAAGCTAACGGAGTGAAAAAAACTGAACAGTTTTTATACAAACTGAACTAATGACGTCATGGAAATATTCAGATGAAATATTTCAGAGTCAAAAGTGTTTTAAATTTATAATTTATATTCAGAGACAATATATTTTATAGAATCCAGTAATAACTAACCAAACCCTAAAAGGTTTAATATTTAATGCTTGTTATAATAAAGTCACATCATTTCCTCTGCTGTGACAAAAGGTTTTTGATACCAGCTGTAAAATCAGAATCACATCATTAAACATGAAAGTTTGATTCATCTGGTTACACAGAAGTTATTTATTCTGCTTTTGAAATGTTGAAACGTTTTGTTACAGAACCTCATGTTGATGTTTTGATCAAATCAGACAATAAAAGGAAACTTTGTGATAATTCTTCACAAAAATGATTACTGATTTATGAAACTGTGTGAAATTGTAGGTAATAACAGGCTGATTCCATAAACTAGAATATGAGTGAAAAGTTCCATCACCAAGTGAAAGACATGATCTAGATTCATTCATTACTCGTTTTAACATGTTTACACTTTGTGTACGTTTAATAGCTGCTAAAAGGTTATTTTCTAAAGGTGCTTTTAATCTGACAGTCTGATTAGGATTAATTGAGTCACATTAAGGTTTTGATTTTATTCTTAGCAGTGAAACAGAAAAAGGCCTCCCAGTAACTCCCAGTAACTCCCAGTAACTCCCAGTAACTCCCAGTAACTCCCAGTGACTCCCAGTAACTCCCAGTGACTCCCAGTAACTCCCAGTGACTCCCAGTGACTCCCAGTAACTCCCAGTAACTCCCAGTGACTCCCAGTGACTCCCAGTAACTCCCAGTGACTCCCAGTAACTCCCAGTGACTCCCAGTGACTCCCAGTAACTCCCAGTGACTCCCAGTAACTCCCAGTGACTCCCAGTAACTCCCAGTAACTCCCAGTGACTCCCAGTGACTCCCAGTAACTCCCAGTGACTCCCAGTGACTCCCAGTAACTCCCAGTAACTCCCAGTGACTCCCAGTGCCTCCCAGTAACTCCCAGTTTGTAAATAATGTGACTTTAATCTGTGGCTGGTCTCTCTTATGTTTCTGGGTCCAATAGTTTGAGAACCAGAACCAGAGGAACGTCAGCGACCCGATTCCTGCTGCCTGATCTGGGCTCAGGCTGCTGGTTCTTACAGGTCATACTGGTCCTGGTCCCAGAGACCAGAACTGGTTTTCATAAATCCATCCACTACTGGTTTCCTTGTATGATTTTGTTTATAATTAGCATTTTGTAATTTGACTTTGTGGAAATATCATTCTAACTAATTTGGGTTCTTTTAAAGTTCTTATTGGACTTTGTCCCCATGTATCAGGCTCCGGGCCCAGAGAGCTTGTTTATTCTGGACCAATCAGATCTTTGGTTCTGATGGAAACTGGATGTTAATAGCCCTGACCTCTGACCCTGTTGGCCAGGCAGTGAATAAGGACTCAGACTGCAGCATGTGGAACCAAACTGTTTATTCCTCCAGAGCTCTACTTGTCCTCCGGCTTGTTGAAGCAGTAGGTCAGGCAGCATTTGCCGCAGTAATGGCGGTCGAAGTGACTCGCCATGAAGACGCCGGCGCCGCACTCGTCAGCTGGACACTCGCGCCGCAGACGGTGGATCTTACCGTTCTCATCCACCTGCAGATACAAACAGCCGCTGAAGGCAAGAGGCAACACCCCAGAAACCCCGCCCTCTGACCCCAGAAGCCCCGCCCACCTTGTAGTACTTGAGCACGGCCAGCTTGACCTTCTTCCTCTTGTGTTTGTTCTTCTTGGGTGTGGTGTAGGACTTCTTCTTCCTTTTCTTGGCGCCGCCTCTCAGACGCAGCACCAGGTGCAGAGTAGACTCCTACAAACAGGAAGCGGTTCAGACCGACACCGGGACCCGAGCCCCCTGCCGAGCCGGGACCCGGGCCCCCTGCCGAGCCGGGACCAGGGCCCCCTGCCGAGCCGGGACCAGGGCCCCCTGCCGAGCCGGGACCAGGGCCCCCTGCCGAGCCGGGACCCAAGCCCCTGCCGAGCCGGTCCCGGGGGTCCAGGTCCCGTTCAGATTCTCTGCTGCAGCTGGTTGTTAAAATGTTAATTTGGAGAAAAAGTGACGATTGAAATCTTCAATCTGATTCAGGTTGTTGTGATGTTAGCTCCACTTCCTGAGCTTTCAAATGATCCTGATTTTATTAGACCAAAATTATTAGAAATAATCCTGCAATTTAGCAAAAATGACTTTGATCGACTCCAACATGGCAACGATCTCTGCAAAGGTTTAAAACATCAAGTTTGTGTTTTATTGATGTCAGTAAAGTGAAGGTGAAACATGCAGATGATCTGGTTCTATTGGTCAATGAATATGTAACTGTGTATGATGACAGATTGTTAAAATGCTGCTATGATCTGTTGAACTAAAGGATAAATAACATATTCAGAGTTTAAACTGACAGGATTCCTTTAGTGTCAGTGAGAAAATTAAATATGTTAATTCAGAGCATATTTTCTCTACTCTGACTGGTTTCCTCCATGATGCATCAAATGTTTCTGAACCAAAACGGATCAGAGGAGAAACTTCATGTTTAACTTTATACATTATTTCAATTTATCTGAAGATCAAATCACCACCACTGAGCCACAGACTAACAGTTATTAAATGTCTCATCTTGTTTTGGATGTCTGCTTTAATTAGCTTTGGTTGAACTTTGAGCCTGAAATAAATTAACTATTTTCTATTAAATTAGAAGAAAAACTGAACAGTTCAAGAAATGAACCAAAACATTTCAACCGAATCTGTTCAGAAGAACTGAAAGCTGCAGAGTTCTTCTCACCTTCTGGATGTTGTAGTCCGACAGCGTCCGTCCGTCTTCCAGCTGCTTCCCAGCAAAGATCAGCCTCTGCTGGTCAGGAGGAATTCCTGCAGGAACATCAGCAAGAATTTAAACAACCTGGAGACCCTGGAGACGCCTTCAATGACCCCTGGAGACGCCTTCAATAACCTCTGATCCCAGGTTAAACCCATGCTCCTGACTGGATGAAGCAGCTATCTGGGTTCATGTTTCTAATTTCACTTTGAGGAAGTCTGAAATTGAACCATCAACCTTTCTGAGCTGCAGATAATCTGATTTCTACATGAACAGCCAATCAGATTCTTTTATTTCAGTTGCAAAGCAGAAGCAAACATGTCAGACCTCCAGAAACCCTCCAATATCCACCTGCAGATATGAAGTTTTATACCTTCATTAATATGTTAAAATAATTTTTTTAATGTGACTCAGTTTGTAAATATTCTTTCAGTTAATTACTATTGTCTTGACTTAAGTTATTACTCCAGCTAATTTCAACATATAGATTTCATTTTGTGAAGACAAAAAACCATCATGAAGTTGGTGAAAAGCTGCCAAAGTGCCTTTAAAAAAACTTAAACTATATAGACACTTAATTATGAAGTAAATAAGGCAATTATTAGATTCAGAAATACAATAACTAAGACGTATTTGTTGATAGGAACTTCTTCCTCCAGTTTTCATTTCAGGTCCAGTTGGACTTCATTTGGAGGCGTTCAGGGTCCGCAGGATCATTCAGAACCACCTGCAGCTGACACTCACCTTCCTTGTCCTGGATCTTAGCCTTGACATTTTCAATAGTATCTGAAGGCTCAACCTGGAAAATAAAAACACATGTAACCTGATAGCATTGAATAAAATCACTGCATCAGCTCCAACACTGAGTCCTTCAATCTGCTCCGTTTAAACGAACCGGAGCAGATTGCGGCTGCACGTGTTTACTGCTCTACCAACTTTAGCCAAGTATCTTCAGTTTAGCCACTTTTTATGACCAATCGAAGCATTACTGCGTTATACATCAAAATAATAATCAGAAAACAAGCTTAACAAGCTCCTTTAAACAGCAAAGCTCCGTTTAACCGCAGTAAGTAAACGCCGCCACCCTCCAGCACGCTCACCTCGAGGGTTATAGTTTTCCCCGTGAGGGTTTTCACGAAAATCTGCATCGTGAGGTTCGGTCCACCTGTACAGAAACACACGGAGAGACTATCGGAATCCACTCAGATTGAAAACGGATCCAAAATACCGTTACGTTTTATTAAAAGGTGATAAAAACACGCAGCACCACTCACCACCGGTTCACTCCTAATGGCGGATCCTGAGAAGAGGACCTCAAAGGGGAAAGAACGGGGTTTCCTACACGCGATTCAACGGAGGTAGCTGGCAGTATTGTGCCTGATTAAAAAACAGAAAGTTTTTTTTAATCGTCGTTAATTTACTTTTTACTACAACATATTTCGGCCCTGAACATATCAAAAATAACATTAAGGTACATACTTGAAATAATATAACTCAAATTATCAAAAATATGATTTTAAGTGGTCCTCGGTTTCCATGGTAACACCACGATTACTATGTTACTGACGGCTAACACGCAGAAGAGTTAGAGTTGGTTTAAAACTAGATAATGACAATATGGATCAAGGACAAAATGACACCGAAGACCCAGAAATGAGTCCCGTGATGGATGTAGAAGGGTGTGAGAGTGACGAGATGTTTGTTCAGTCTCTAAACGAGTTTATCGAGAAAGAGAAGAAGTACCTGCAGTGTCCAGAGGAGGGCACTGATGAGCTGCGACACATTGTCTACCGCTCCGCGTTCAACAAGGTGAGATGAATGGGTGAAATATTTTACACAAAACTCTTATGGAAGTTCTAATTATGATATTAGGAACAGGTGACGGATTCTGTTAAGCATTTCAATATTTTGTTTTGGTCCTTGATGTTTTCCTTCATGTGATCCAGACTTTCTTCTGGAATATTTGCTCTGAGTTTTCTAGAGATTTTTCAGTTTTTGTTCATTTTATACCGGACTTTACAGAACTATTCACCCTCATGCAGTTCTTCCAGTTCAAACTCAAACTCAAAAAGACACACCTTTTCTTGATTTTCCAGATTTTCTTTTACAGATTACAATCTGGAAAGTGTGGCATGTCTTTGTATTCAGCTCTCTTGAGTCTGCTGCAGGTCTCCTGGCTTTCTCTGACCATCTAGACTAGATTCTGTCAGCCCGGAAGGCTAACCTCCACCACTCTCAGGTTCATCACTGAGGAACCAGACTGGACCCAAACTGATACATGGTACTTAGCAGAAGCTAATGCTAATGTCAACCATGTTTACATCCACCGACACAAACAGACTTTTAACTTAGCATGTTAGAATTTATCTCAAATAATTAACTTAAGGTGTGTTAAAAGGATGCTAAGCATTGTCAAAGTTAGTAAACATGCTAAAGAGCTGAATGAAAAATTAGCCTAGCATGTTAGAGAGCGCCGGGAAGAACCTGGAAGTGATCCGGATGGGTTTAACAGAACGTTCTGGAGCCGTACAGGTCAGGTCTGTATCTTGCAGGTGATTGGTCGAGCCTCGGCCTATAGGAGGCTCCTGCTGGACATAAAGTCAGAGTATGACGGCGTCATCAGGGAGATGAAGAGGAGGGAGGAGGAAGCTGTGGCTTTCCACCTGAAGTCCCTGCTGGGTTATGCTGCTCACATCACTGACAGGTAAGGCTACTGGTTCTGGTGGGGACCGATTGGGTCCAAACAGCACCACAGGTTCACCAGCATGTCTGCTCTCTGTCCAGAACCTTGGTCCTCCAGAATCAGACATCAGAACTTCAGCAGGAGGTCCAGAGGCAGAAGGCCACCACCCAGAGTCTACTGATACCAGGTTCTGTTACTGGACTTACTGGGCCGAATGTTCTGGATGGGCTTCAGAACCTCTGATGACCCGCCTCTCTACGATTCTGCAGGTCTGACCGTGGCCCAGTCCGAAGACCCGGAGGTTCTGCTGGTCCATCTGGACCACCTGAAGATGCAGAGAGACGACCTTCTGGACCGGAAGATCCTGTACGGTCCTGTGGAAGTGCAGACCCAGCTGACCTTTGACCTGCAAGAGGACCAGGTCCAAAGGGACCGCCTGAGGGCCCAGCACCAGCAGCTGATGATCCGGTATGGAAACTGGGTCAGATCAGAACATCTGAGGTTATGTCTGTCGGTCAACCAGAACCAGAATCCGGCTTTAGCCTCAGATTATTTAAACTTTAACATCAATAGAAACACAAACATTTACAGAACACCGGTCCAAATTCTGGTTCCTGCCTCGCTGACCCTCCTGCGTTTCCCCTCCGGTGCAGCAGGTGGCGCTGCAGCTCTGACCCATGATCTCTGCAGGTTCCGGCGCCTGAAGCTGGTGGGTCAGAGTCTGACAGTCTGGGAGGAATCGGGTCAGACGGTTCTGCTGGAGGAACTGCTGCGTTCTGTCATCCAGAACCTCCAGGAGATCGGAACCGATCTGCAGGACGAAGGTCAGACTTCACAACCTGGAAATGAACCAATGGTTCTGGTTCTGGACGTGACCCTCCAGAACCTTTGCTGTGGGTCCTGCAGGCGGTGATGAAGAGTCGTTCTGCATCCCAGCTGAGCTGCTGGAGGAAGAGGAGCCGACCGGGCTGGACGAGTCCAAACTGCTGAGGAACCACTTGGACAGGTCGGGTTCTACGGGTCAGAACCAGACCCAGGCAGGACCACGAAGTCTGGGCCTGCCTGGACTACAACTAGTAACTGACTCTGGTTCTGGTTCTGACTGCAGTTCTAACTGGTTCTGGTTCTGTTCTCCAGGCTCCTGGACCTGCTCCGGTCCTCCCAGTACGAGGCGGCGGCCCTCCATGCGGCCCGGTCTCCGGTCCTGAGGGACTTGGACACCATGGAGATGTTTCGAGGTTCAGAACCAGAACCGGAACTGGAACCTCCCCCAGAACTTGGCTGATTCTGGTTCTGTTCCCTCAGGTGTTCGGGCCCCGCCGGACTCCACCCCCCCACTGCTGCTGTTCTTCCGGGCGCTGCTGGTTACCGCGGCGACGGGCAGCCGGCTGTCGGCGGCCATGTCGCTGAGGGGCGTGGCCTCGGCTCTGCAGCAGGGAGACGTGCTGCTCATCGCTAACGCCGTCACGCTCAACAAGTGAGGTTCTGACCCGGTTCTGAAAGCAACATTTAGAAACACAACAAAACTACAAAATAAATGAAAATATTGATATTCTTTTCCTTTAAAAGCATAATTAATCTGAGGTCCAGCCAACTGGTGCCAGCCGCACTAATCAGTGAATCTGTTCGGTTGGGTCCAGCAGTCGCTTCTCCTGCTAATGCATTCATAGCAGGAAGAATGAGCGGCTGGTTTTGAAATCCCAGCCTGGTGAGTTCAGGTGTTGCTGAGCTGCAATCAGCTGACAGTAAAGCAGGAAACGTGAGGCGTTCAGGGCACTGCGGCCGGGAAACGTGAGGCGTTCAGGGCGCTGCGGCCGGGAAACGTGAGGCGTTCAGGGCGCTGCGGCCGGGAAACGTGAGGCGTTCAGGGCGCTGCGGCCGGGAAACGTGAGGCGTTCAGGGCACTGCGGCCGGGAAACGTGAGGCGCCGCTTCCATTCCCTTCAGTTAATTTCTCCAGATAAATCCTGAAACATTCAACATTTGTGTTGTGTTTTTGGTAATAAACTGTAGAGATTTGTTCTAGTAGTTAGCTGCTTATATTATGCTCTTATTGTGAAGGACTTGAAGATAATGCAGCAGTTTCACTTCCTCTCCTCCTGTTTTCAGCCCATAATGCGATGCAGCAAATGACATTTAATCTGTACCCAGAATGCATCACTGTAGACGGTTAATAAGCTCCATGATGCCCTGCTGCTTATGACCGAAGCCTACCAATTAGGCTAACTAGGCTAATTTAGCATCAGAGATAGCAAAGCTCAACAACTGAAACAATAAGTGAAAGTTTCTTCTGAAAAGAATCACTTCCTGAAGCTCAAACAAACAGAGACATGTAGTAACAAACCCGGCCCTGTGGGGGGCGATGTGTGCTGTAGCACGTAGCAGGTCGAATTTAGTGCTTTAGCATTAGCTTCTGCTAAATATTGTATTGATATAGTTCTGGTGGAACTGATCCATCCCCCTCAGGCTGACCTTCTCTGAGGCTGTGGGTGACGCGCTCACTGAGCATGCTCAGAGGAACCGGGGCGTGGCCGACCTCTGTCTGGCTCTGGCCTCCACCGTCTACCAGGCCTGCAGCCGCCACCAGAAGACCGCACTGAGCATGTGCAGAAGAGGCCTGGTGCACGGCGCCGCCGAGGTCATCAAGAGGAAGAAGCTCACTGCAGGTCAGCCTGTTTCTCCGGGTCTGACCAGAACCAGAACCTGAAGGTTCTTGTGAACTGTGTGTCTCATGTCTCTGTCTTTGGAAGGGCTTCCCGGTCCGACCAGAACCAGAACCTGTCCTGTGTGTGTTCAGAGGAGAGCCTGTGGGTTCTGTCCCACGCACCCAGCCTGTCCCTCCTCCAGCTGCTGACCAACGCAGACGACAATGGGGAGGCGGCCATCTTGTCTGTGGGCGGGACCTTTGCCTCCATGCTGGCGGACTTCAACCAGAACCAGCTGGCGCTGGAGCTTCTGGAAGGATTCCTGAGGAGAGGTCCAGGTGAGTGCATCGGTTCTGACCCAACCCTGATGTGAGACGTCCTGACGCGTCCTTTTCCCCTCAGACGTGCTGGCGACGGCCATCTTGGAGGACAGTAGGTGTTCAGTGGACTTCTGGGACCAGGTGGCGGCACTATGCGCTGAACTGGACCGGGTTGATCTGAGCCGGGCCGTCCACTCCATCCTGCACGGACCCGGACCCTGGACATCGGACCTGGAAGAGGAATGGCTCATGGAGCACGTCTTCCTGTGAGACAGGAATTGGAGGACAGAGAGGAAGTGGAGGACGGAAACAGGAAGTGGAGGATAGAGACAGGAAGTGGATGATTGAAACAGGAAGTGGAGGACAGAGACAGGAAGTGGGGGACGGAAACAGGAAGTGGAGGATGGAAACAGGAAGTGGAGGACGGTGATACATGTACTTAATTTCCTTTAAATCAATTTTTGTATGTTTCCAAATAAATCCTGGATTCAGTATTAACTGTTTTGCGGCAAGAAATATAACTACAAATGTTTTGTCAGCCTGGCTATAAACATGATTTTAGCTCTTTAGCATTAGCTTACATTTTAGTAGAGTGGTTTTGCGTTAGCAGAGCTAATATTTGTGATTAGTGCGTTAGCCGCTGGTTTTAACCTGCTGTCTCTGTTCCGCCTGAATTTCCTCTCTGTGATAATAAATGACTGTTTTCTCTGAAGCTAGCTGCTGTTAGCAGTTCTGCTGGGTTTGGATCCGGTATCTGCCTACGGTTCCTACAACAGAAGGTCACCAACGCTACAAGGCTTTTAGCATTTTTAGCTTCATTTTGCTTTAGCAGAGCTAATGTTGCTTTATGTTGGGATGCTTATAATTGTAATTTTCATATTTATGGAAGAAGGAAGACGAATCACAAAAACACATTTTTGTTTAATTTCCCTAAACAGTCACCTGTGACCCTAGCAGGTTGACTTCTGATACGGATCAGAACCAGAACCTATTCCAGAACCAACCTGGACCGGTTCTATCTCTTTATGCCTGGCCCTGGTTCTGTTCGAACCGGTGTCAGTCCAGTTCAGGACATTTTGACGACCAGAACCGGACCGCAGTAGTTTGAAAGGAGATAAAAAAAGTTAATTTCTCTTTGTGATATTGAAGTTCATTTTTTATTAATTTTCATTAAATGAGGAAAAAATCCTAAAGAAACAGCAAAAATATTTAATTTTTATTAATACAATTGTTTAAAATGTTTTTTCTGCGCTAATTTATTCACAGAAACACACAAAATACTTCATGGTTCCAGAACTAGAACTTTCGGACTGGGTTTGGTTCCGCTGGAGGCAGCTGCTGCTGCTGCAGCTGCAGCTGCTGCTGATGATGATTGTTTACATGATGAAGCTGGTCACGTGATTAGCAGACATGGCGTGAACTGGACTTTGGATCCTCTGCGGCTCGTTGGCCCGGTTCCGACCCGCTCCGGCGCTGTAAACAGGCCAGACGTTGCTAGGCAACGCTGCTAATAGGAGCCGCTGCTGGCATCATCATCATCATCATCATCATCATCATCATCATCATCATCATCATCATCATCATCATCATCATCATCATCATCATCAGCATCATCATCATCATCATCATCATCATCATCATCATCATCATCATCATCATCATCAGCAGCAGCAGCAGCAGCATCATCATCATCATCATCATCATCATCAACCCAGAGAGTTTCAGTCTCATGACTGAGTTCTGTTCGTCCAGAACCTCTGAGTCAGACCAGAACCGTTCAGGAAGGAGAACCGGTCACTGTTCAGCCGTCCAGAACCGGTTACCATGGTGACCCCCTTCACAATAAGAGCCTCTGAGCGGATGATGGCTGACCCAGAAGAAGAGAAGCTTCTGCTGTGGCTCTCATGTCTCCGACTGCATGTGAAGCCGCCATAAATACCCCGGACACGCGTGTTCCGGGGTATTTATGGCGGCCTGGGGTCGCCTGTCGCCAGCTGCCCTGAACGCAGCAGGGCTCCGTTCCCGCAGCGGAAGGAACGTCGCGTGACTCATCTGGGCCAATGGCGACTGCAGCTTCCGCTCCTGGACTTCCGGTCTGAGCCCCATCATCACCCCGCCACCACCATGCCGCAGTGTTTCATAGCATAACGTTTCAACATTTGTGTTGTGTTTTTGGTAACAAACTGTAGAGATTTGTTCTAGTAGTTAGCTGCTTATATTATGCAGCTAATATTTTTAAATGTTAGTATTTAAAAATATTACATGTTTTTAAATGTTAGTATTAAATCTTTAGCTTTGTATTTTTAGTATTTGTATTTTGTAAAAATCTTATTTGAATTTCGATGATGAATTTATTTGATGAAATAAATTCATATGTCGTTGTGTGTTATAAAACACACAACGACATGAGCTTTATGCTCCACACACACACACACACACACATACACACACACACACACACACACACACACACACACACACACACACACACACACACACACACACAGATCTGGCCGCTTTAAAACCGAACCTGGGTCCAAACCGTCTCACCAGAACTGCTCCTCCTAAATGTTCACCATGCTTTTAAGGGAGGCGGTGTCAGATTTCGCCCCGCCCATTGAACTCGATCTGATTGGTCAGCGGTCAGGTCCCTCAGAGCCCTGCTCGCACCTGATTGGCTGGCGGGAGTTCCCTCGGTTTCGCCATCTGAGGCTCGGGTTCGACGCCGTGGGCTGCTGTGTGGCGTGGCGCACTTGGGCTCGGTTCGGACAGAAAAAGGAGCGAACCGGAGCGGTTCCGTGGCTTTTCCCGACCGTCGTTCGTTTCAGGGGGAAAATCTGAGCGGAAAACTTCCGGAACCAGAACTTTTTCCACTGTGGGAGGAACTTTTTCAGAGCCAGAAACATGGCAGACAACGAGGAGGTCTCTTCCAGCACCCCCCTGTTCAGCGAGGGCCACCACTACCAGCCCGAACCGGAACCAGAACCCCAGCTGGACCCTGGGCCCGGCCACGAATTGTTCAACCCTGACGACATCGTGGACCTGGTCGGCGGGGCTCAGGACGCCTTGGACCGGCACCGGGCAGAGGGTGAGAGTGGGCTGCAGGAGCCCACTGTGACCTCCACCCGACCAGAACCAGAACCAGTACATAAACCAGAACCTGTCCGGGAACCAGAACCAGTACATAAACCAGAACCAGTCTGGGAGCTAGAAGCAGAACCGGTCCAGAAACCAGAACCTGAACCAGTCGAAAAACCAGAACCTGAACCAGTCCAAAAACCAGAACCTGTACAAGTTTATGAGCCAGAACCGGTACTAGAACCACAACCAGTGGAAAATGTGCCAGACCTTTGAAGGACCCAGAAGCCCAGGCCCCCGGTGCCGAGGCGGGGAGCCCCGGCCCGGCCCCCCCGGCGGAGCCTCCTGCCCCGCAGAGCGACGCCCTCCTGGCGGCTGCAGCCCGAGAAGCAGCGCCATCCCCGGCAGAGGCAGCAGCGCAGCCCGCGGTGACACAGGAACCTCTGGCTCCGGCTTCGTGTGAGTATCTGGGATCAGTTCTGCTGTCTTTAGTCGGGACATCTGACCCAGGCTGTTGGGTTTCATCAGAACCGGTTCCACAGTGGCACCGGGTTGTTTTTGACCGGATTTTCGTGCTTTATCTCCCGGTCAGGCTGAGTCTGAGCGGCCGGGCGGTGATGCGCCTCAGCCCGGGGAGGAGCGGTCCTGCCCGGGCTGAGGCCGGACTGCCTGCCGCTCAGTGGGCTCTGCAGAATCCCGCTGCAGAATCCCGCTGATCGGAAACGTTTCACCGGGAAGGTTCCGATCATCTCCGCAGATTGTGCAGCAGGTTGAGCCCGGTGCTGATGCGGCCCACCTGTTCTGTTTGGACCGGCGGACGTTCGGTGCCGACCCGGTGAATTACCCGTTAATCGGCTCTCCGGTTCCTGGGACCGAGAGGGGGGAGGGGGTCTGGATGAATATGAGCTGGTTCTGTGTGCGGTACCGGTGGCGGAATGGACCGTTTCATGCTCCAGCGCGGCTAGCGGTACTGCTTAGGTGGTTCCATTATCGGACAGCGACATGCTAAAAACGCTTCATCAGGGCTGAGCTGCGCAACTTTCCTAATATAGAAGCTCCGCGAAGTCCGGCGGGCAAACTGGTGTTATACTGGTGTCAGCACGTTGGACGTCCTCTGTTGTGTAATTATGTGGATCAGACGGGTCGATTTGGGCCGACGCAACAGACAAGGCCGTGTCCGATAATGGACGCAGGGTGCTCAGCCCAGCCCAGATTCGTCACAACAAAGGAATCCGCTGGGAATCCTCTCCCAGTCGCTTTACCGCATTCCCAGCTCCTCGCCGGCCAGCGGGATGGAGCTGACGGTAATGTCCGGGCTCCAGCCGCATCCGGACCGAGCCCTGCGGGCCCCGGATCCGGTCCAGAACCGGTCCATGGGCCTGGACCCGCTGCAGGGCTCAGGTCCGCAGCAGCGGTCCAGAGCCCGGTTCTGGTGCTGTTGCGATGTGTTTGTTCCTCAGGATGGGGATGCAGAGTGAAGGTGAGCAGGCCTCAGATCGTCCTGGAGGTGATGGAGGCAGGGTGGGGCCGAGACCCAGAACAAAAGGAAAACACAGGTCTGGCCTCATTGGACCGGTTCCGATCGGCTCAGCGGGTTCTGCTGGAGGAAAACAAAAACCCGATCCTTCCTGAAATCAATCCATCATTTCTAATCCAGATTTTTCCCTTCAGAAAACATTTTAGTCACCAAACCATAAATCTACCAGCTGTTAGGAAACATTGCTAATTTTATAGCATCATTTCATTACCATGGCAACAAGGTGGAGGCTTAACCTGGAAGAAGACCTGAACTTTGACCCCACATCCCAGAGGAAGGTTGAATGTCTCTGAGGGTCTTATCCCAAACTCCAGCATCTCTGTGACTGGAGCAGCAGCTGATGATGTCATCATGTTTAGCTGTTAGCATGTTAGCATGATAATGGTCTTCAGTCAGAAGAAAGGCTGAGTTACTGGGAGTCACTGGGAGTTACTGGGAGTTACTGGGAGTTACTGGGAGTTACTGGGAGTTACTGGGAGGAGTTACTGGGAGGCACTGGGAGGAATTACTGGGAGGCACTGGGAGGAGGTACTGGGAGGCACTGGGAGTTACTGGGAGTCACTGGGAGTCACTGGGAGTCACTGGGAGTTACTGGGAGTTACTGGGAGTCACTGGGAGTTACTGGGAGTTACTGGGAGGAGTTACTGGGAGGCACTGGGAGTTACTGGGAGTCACGGGAGTCACTGGAGTTACTGGGAGGCCTTTTTCTGTTTCACTGCTAAGAATAAAATCAAAACCTTAATGTGACTCAATTAATCCTGATCAGACTGTCAGATTAAAAGCACCTTTAGAAAATAACCTTTTAGCAGCTATTAAACGTACACAAAGTGTAAACATGTTAAAACAGGAGTAATGAATGAATCTAGATCATGTCTTTCACTTGGTGATGGAACTTTTCACTCATATTCTAGTTTATGGAATCAGCCTGTTATTACCTACAATTTCACACAGTTTCATAAATCAGTAATCATTTTTGTGAAGAATTATCACAAAGTTTCCTTTTATTGTCTGATTTGATCAAAACATCAACATGAGGTTCTGTAACAAAACGTTTCAACATTTCAAAAGCAGAATAAATAACTTCTGTGTAACCAGATGAATCAAACTTTCATGTTTAATGATGTGATTCTGATTTTACAGCTGGTATCAAAAAC